CAGAGTCTGCAGTCCAATGACTAGGATTTCTTATTTGCTAGCTCCGTCTTAAGTATCAACCATAACCATTAATCTATATATTTTATAAAGACTTAACTTATCGAGGATGCTGGCGGCATGCGTCCTCTCTTGCCAGGAGGCTCCTTCTTTACTACATTTCCCAGAATCCTCCTTGACTCCTAGACCCACCTATCTTGCTTTCCTATTGGCCAACAGTGCTTTAATTAATCAACCAATATGACAAGCATATACACAGAAGGACCTCCCCTATCACAATGTTACACAAGAAGAAAATAAATAAATAAATAAATGTTTCTGCTTGGTCTTCTTGTGGGACTCCTAACAGTGTCTCTGACTCGTTTGTAGACTTTTGGGACCCTACTCCTCATAATGGGTTGCCTGGCCCAGTCTTAATACAAAAGCTGTGCTTAGTCTTACTGCAACTTGATATGCCGTCTTTTGTTGATATCCACAGGAAGCCTGACCTTTTATGAATGGAAACACAGAAGAGGAATGGACTGTGGGGAGAAGACGGGAGATGTGGATGGACTGGGAGGAGAGGAGGGACAGGAAACTCAAGTCCGAATGTAAAATAAATAAATATTTTTTTTAAATTCCTAAAAAAAAAAGGGATATGTTTCTATAAGTTCCTCAGAGAACTAAAAGTTGATTTTAATTTTAGAAGCATCAGAGATGCCTGCTGGTGGTGGTGCACACCTTTAATCCCCACACTCTGGGAGGCCGAGGCAGGTGGAGCTCTGGAGATCATAAAGACATTCTGTTCACATGCCATTGGTAAGACTGGAAAATACATCTTGGAACTGAACCAACTTCATTAAGCAGGTTAGATAAATCTGATCTATATCCTTGTGAATAGCAGAGTCCAGTGGGAAAACCTCTAAGTTTGCCCACAACTTTCAAGGCATTAGAGTGAGATTAAAGGAGATATGAGCAGACATTCTTGCATTCTCCTTATGTCTCTGGAATAAAGCCAATCAGCTCGAAGGCCGCCAGCGTCTGCCTGAATTTTCACTGAATCTGAGCCATTTGTTTTCAACTTCAGATTGGGATTCACATTTACTCTCAAGCAAAGAGCAGGGAAGCTACCCCCAAGCCTGAAGAAACAGCAACAGCACATTCACATTTTAATAAACATGCTGATTTGAAAATGTCCAGAATTCTAATAGGCTGTCCTTACTGGGATTGAACCTTGTCCAAATCTGTTGTGTGGACACCTGACTTATTAATACACGTGGGTGCTTCCTGTGTGCACCGGGTGAGTTCTAAAACTTCTTTCAAATATCACCTATGGAGGGATGGCTTCCCACCTCATCCCATGAGGCCAATATTACTCTAAATATCAAAACTGGATAAAAAAGAAATCCAATGTAACAGAACTGTGTTGGTTTCTGGGATTTTGTTTTTTACTTTTTTGTTGTTGTTTGTTTTTTGTTTTTTGTTTTTTGTTTTAAATGGAGTGTACTGGATGTCTCTACAATTTTGTTCAAATGACTGCAGAACCTGGAAAAGCTGTTGCTGCTATTGATGCATAACATATTGTCATTATATATATACATATATACATATATATGTATGTATGTATATATATAATCATGCTAATTGAAACTCAAATATGTGATGAATCCAAGGTGTTTCAGTGAGTGCACACCTGTGCATGCAAATTTGATTTCAACTTTAGCAAGTAATAAAGTTATATGCTTGCCAAAAAAAATAAGTGACACACTGGAAGACAAATGTCACACAATTTCATTTTTATGTGTAACCTAGAAATGATGAACTTATGGGAACAGAGAGCAGAATTGTGGCTATTAGGCTTCAATGTGGGTCTTTTAACAATGGGGAAACGATTGGTTTAAGGATATAAAACTGCAGTTGGACAAGAGGCATGGACTCTGTGATGTCTTGAGGTCTACTGAGAGCATGATAAATATGGTTGATAACAATATGCTATATTTTAAAAGTTGTGAGATAGAATACTTTAAGTGTTCTCAAAACAAAATGATGAATATGTGTGATATAACATGTTAATTGATTTAAGTTAGTCATGCCATTGTGAACATACTGTATTATGTATCATAATTGTTTGTGACTTTATTTATGAGCTAAATAAATGAATGGAAAAAATTCGTATACAATAAAAAAATAAAATAAAATAAAATACTGTAGACAGAGGGAAAATGTGCTATGGGTTCAAATGAGTGGCCATTGTGGTGATGTCTTATTTATGTTCTAATAAAGCTTGCCTGAAAATTAAAAAAAAAAGACATCCAACACAAGATTACAGACCCACATCTCTCATAAATACATATGCCAAACTTCTAAACAAATTCTTAACGAAAGAATCCAATATTATAATTTAAAGAATAATATATCATGATCAAATTAATCCAACAACAGAAAGCTTAGTGGTCACTTGTGCATTGGCAGTAAGAGAACAGATAGGAATGGAAAGAGAAAATTCTATGGAGATTTTGAAAACGATAGTATGTTTGCAATCTTGATTTTGATTAATGCATGTGCAAAAGACCTAGCAAATTGTTCACTTAAAGTGTGTGTGTTTTATCATATAACAACTATACCTTTGAAAGCTCCTTTAGAAAACATTTTTGTCCAGTGTTTTGACTTTGGATATTTAGGAGAATGAAGTGCAAACAGCGCAGTTTGTCTATCGTTTATAGATTCACATAGAACTTTATCAGTGGTTAAGAGCACTTTTGCAGAGCGCCAGGGTTTGGTTCCCAGCGTCCGTATGGTAGCTCACAACCATTTATTAACTCCAGTTCCAAGAAATCCGATGTCTTCTGACCACCGCAGGCACCAGGTAAGCACACAGTGCACGGTACATCAAGCTGGCAAATCACTAATGCACATGTACTAAGTCAGTATTTAAAAAACCCCTTTGAATGGATCTGCTCTCTTAGAAGCGCTTGATGTCTAGGATAGGGCTGAAACTTGCTCGGGAAGACTCCGGCTGCGAAGATGCAGAGAGAGAGAAGGGGCTGAGCAGAGACTGAGGACAGCGGGAAAACAGCCGACAAGCAGCCAGGTACAAGCGTTGGGAAGAAACCAGGGGGGCCACTCCTAGGGCGCGTTCCTAGAGGGCAGGATGCCCTGAAGCCCGGTGACCCTTCGCGAACAACCAATATCGGTGTTGCACGTGAGAGCAAGAACGCAGAGACCGAGAGCGGGCATCGCGGGCTGCTCCAGCTCTGTGAGCCTCGAGTCGCAGAAGCGACACCGAGGGTGGAGATGCGGAGGGCAGGACAGCGCAACCCGGCCCTTCCTTTGGCTGAGCCGACTGTGGGACGAGGGCCCGTCTCTCCCGCACCCTCTTGGGCACTGCACGCCCAGCAGCCGCCGGGCGGCCTCTAGCAGGGTGTGTATCTGAGATGGCGCCGCCTCGTTCCCTAGATCGTGCTTAACCTAAAGCACAACACCGGAGGTGAGAGGGCGAACGGGTGAAGCCAACTTTACTAGGCCTAAGGCTGCCGGCCCTGCTGAGGCAGGCGTGCGGTGGGCGTGCGGTGGAGGCGGAGCCTGACGTGGGTAAAGCCTGGAGAAGCCAAAGCGAATGCAAGCGAACCAATGGGCGGAGCCTAGCGTGGGTGGAGTCGAGGGGGAGGCAGCCAAAGTTTTATGGCGGGGGGGCGGAGGAGGCGGAGCCTGACGTGGGTGGAGCCTGGGGAAGCCGAAGTGAAGGCGAGCGGACGAGTGGGCGGAGACTGACGTGGATGGAGCCCCGGGGAGGGGGGGTGAGGGCAGCCAAAGTTTTTTGGCGGGAGGGCCCAGGAGGAGGAGCCTGAGGTGGGTGGAGCCTGGGGAAGCCGAAGGCGAGCGGATTAGTGGGCGGAGCCTGACGTGGGTGAAGCCCGGGGAAGCCGAAGGAAAGGCGAGCGGATGAGTGGGCGGAGCCTGACGTGGGTGGAGCCCAGGGGATGCAGCCAAAGTTTTATGGATGGCGGACCTAGGAGGCGGAACCTGAGGTGGGTGGAGCCTGGGACCACCTCAGTCTGAGGCGGGTCGAACCTGAAGTGGGTGGGGCCAAAAGTAGGCGGGGCCCGGAGACTGAGGGTAGTCGAGGAGATTGGGGTGGCGGGCCGACGCCCACTTTACGGGGGCGGGACCCTTTCCCAGCGTGCGCCGCGCTGATGCGCCTCACGCGCGCTTTTCTCCTTTCGTATTCCGCCGTTGCAGGGACGCTGCCGCGGAGTAATGGGGTGCTTACGAAGCGGGGGTGTGGCGTTTTCTCAGCCGGGTCATAGTTAGGTGCGTGAAATTCCTCAGAAAAGCCGTGGTTCATTCTCATCGTTCTGTAGAAGGGAATATTGTGTGGAAAGTAGGCCAGATAGGGTCAGAACAGGTTGGAGGGACTAAGGCACAGGAACGTGCAGAAAGTAACTGCAGGCAAGTCGGGGTGCGTTGCCTCGGGCCTGGCGCTTCAGAGTGCGACTGACCTCAGTCAGTCCACGCAGTACTCACTCTAGCAGAAGACCCTGAAAGCCGTCTCCTGGAAAACTGGGACACGACACCCAAGCGCTTTCCCGAAGCTTCTCACCACAGAGACGTGAATTCGGGTGCGTGGTTACTGTAGAATTGGGGAAGAGTTGCTTCCTTTTGGTTCAGAAGCCACAGTTCGTTCAAAAAAAAAAAAAAAGTCTGGAAGGGATCCTAGACAAGTTTGGTTCAGAAGCCACAGTTCGTTCAAAAAAAAAAAAAAAGTCTGGAAGTGATACTAGTCAAAGAAGTTAGGAGAGAATATGACAAAGGATGCGAAGTTGAATTAGTTTGCCTTTGAAAAGAAGGTGCCTATGATAAAGTTTGGGGGGGGTCTTATTATTTAAAACATTCAAATAACGAATGTTTTGAGGGAAAGCTGAGCTACATTTCTGCTTCTGACCCTTACATTTACTACCTCGGGCAAGTTCCCCAACATTTCCATGCCTTGGTTTCTTTACAAAAACCCAATAAAGTATGTCAGCATGTTGAACCGAATAGACCTTTTCATAAAACTGGGAGTTAGGTAGCTTGGAGCTTTCCCAAACAATTGCTTTTCCTAATGTCCTCTCCGTACCTAGTTCATTAAGGCCTAGTTCATTAAGGCCAGTAACCCAGAAAACATTAAGAACGCTGACTTTAGTCGATTAATAGGGTAGTGAATGGAAACTTTTCCCATTTTTCGAATTCTTTGACACATTCCAGAGGAATCCAAAGACAAAATTATCCAAGACAAAATTATCCAAAGACAAAATTATCTCAAGTGAAGATGAACTAGGAATGTTACTGAAGGTTTCCCAGGCCCTATTTTTTTCTCTCATAATTTTTTTATTCTTTGGGAATTTCACATCATGCACCCCAATCCCACTCATTTCTCAGTCCTCCCATATCTACCCTCCACCCTTGTAGCCTTCCCCACCCCAATAAAATTAAAAATAAAATAAAATTTCGCTCCTCTGTCTTTTCCACCTCTCCATCATATGTTCTTTTGTTGTAGTGGCCTCGAGAGCTGAGGTGTGGCCTGTACTGCCACCCAGGGCCATCCTGACGTCTGGGCCAGAGCTGCAGCTGAGGGCCATGTGTGAATACATGGCCCTACTGCAGCTGGGTCCACAGTACCACCAAAGGCCTAGGATGCCCATTGTCTATACCCACCATCCCGGCCTGAGGCCATGTTGATGTCCAGGGACCATGCTGTTGCTGGGGTCATAATCTGAGTGGCCTGTACTGCCACCAGAGGCCATGCTGACATCTGGGCAGGCTTTATTTTTAAATGACTGCTGTAAACAATCAGATCTCTTGACTGTGCTTCCAGAACCTGTTGAGTCAAATATCAACACCTACAGGGAGTTCAGCAATAAAGACACCACCAAAGTAAAGTCATTAAACCAGAAGACATGCTTTTTAAGACCTTGGGTTTCAGTGTTGCCTGAGCAACTCCTTGATTTCCATAGAAAGAAGTGTTGTGTCACTAAAGGACTAGTACCAAAAGGGGCAGTTGTGTCTGTGTATTCTGGTAATAGCTCATTTAGTACTGCCAAAGTTCCTTATATATCGCCAAAGTTTAACAGAATACCTAGCCTTGTAATCAGAGCAAAGGTTTGATTGAAAACCCAAGTTTCCATACTTTTTAAAATTATAATTTCATAATTAACCTTATGAATTGTGTGTTGAAAAGTATAATGTTTGATGAGATAATTGCATTTTAGGGCCATCTTTTTGGTCATAAGACTGTCCCAATATTAATTTTCTCCTTTCCTTCTTTGCCAGTAGAAGAAAAAAAAAAAAAAACAGCATTACAGTCAGATTCATCTATTCTCATATAAATCTACATTAGCCATTAATTCTTCAGTGGACACAATAAATATGTGTCTGCATATACATGTGTATAAAACTTTGTAAAACTGAGCCTAAAATATGCTGTTCATATTCTCATTAAGTAAGATAATTAGATTCTGTCTGCTATATGGACAGTTGGTTCTGTGCTTCATCAGCTGTTAGAAATAACTCTGTAAAGGGGAAAATTCCCTCAAAAACATGATGTTCTCAACTGGAAACTAACTGTTTAAAAAGATGGAAGAACATACATATGCAGTGCCATAATAACCCATTATTTTATGCAATTAATATACACTAATGAGTTATGTTTAAAGATGGAAGTATTAAAACAGACTCCTCTATTTTAGATTTATAATTTAAAATGTCCTTATCAGAATATTTCAGTTTTATGTTGCTTTGTCTCTGCCTTGTTGTATACTAGGTACAGTATATCAGAAGTATGAGCCAATCTTTTTCCATTAGAAATCCATTTATTTTCAGATGCTTGGATAGGATATGCATTGATGAAAATGACAAAGTAGTATAAAAATTGTATTCAGATAATGTCCATATTCAAATTCAGTTATCAGATGTAGAGCCATATTTGTCATAAGGATTATAGTGTAACCATTTATACTTTAAGTAAAAATCCATTTAGATGGCTGTTATGTGGCAATGTAGTTGCTTGATTGATAGACAATCTTTTTAGAAAGAAACAATACTTGTAGGGTTCATTTTGTATTTTTGGATTCCACTTTAATATATAGAATGCTCAGCTAATTCTTGCACTGAGAGAGACCAACTTAGCCCTTTAAGAATGAGTGACGGTACAGGGTTAACATCAGAAGTTAATAATCCACTGGCTATAGGACAGTATGTCAACAGTCGCTCAGACAGTATGTTGGCATGATGGAGCTTTTGACAGGAGGTACAAAATGGCTAACTCTTCATCCATGTGACTGAATACAAAGACAATTGAATATCTGCACTTAAGCAACTGTAATATTTTGAGAAAAGGTAGCTTTTGATCATTATTATTTTAGAATGATTCCAGCGTGTTTTGTCAGTATTGTAGTACAGCCTTAGACACTCATCACTGGACTAGTATTCCCTTTCTGCTGCTACGTTTGTGAGTCGTTCATTGGCTGGACTTTCCCACAGGAAAAACCCTGACCCTCTGGCTACAGTAGAAGCAGGAGACCTGACTCCTTTGTTTAACCAAATGACTGTCTGGAACCGTTAGTTCCTGATATTTTCAAGGTAAACTATGAAGCAAAGCATGGTGGTGCATGGCTATTATTCCATCCCAGGGAAGGCTGAGGCAGGAGGACCAAGAGTTCAGGGTCAGCATGTGCTATATGAGAAGACCCTGTCTCAAACAAACAAGGTAAAGCATCTCCATTTACTTCATTGGTTAGTGTATAATCTAAACACATGTACTTACTGCTTTATTTTACTCCATAGCAGTAATATTTTGAGTATGTTCCAATAACAAAACCATAATTAAGCATCATAATTCAATAGTGTTTTTTCTGACTATAGTGACTTTTTCCTCTCAAATGAATGTGACTCTTCCTAGACAGAGCCACTAATGTGTGTTATTAGGAATTTGATGTGCCTGCAGTTTTCCCTGTAGAAATGAAGCAAATCTCCCAAACATTGCCTACAGCTATGACAAAAGACAGTTTTTTAAAATCAGCTTGCCCCATCTCCCGTGTTACACTACACTTGAAAAATAAGATTTCTAGGAAAAATCTTTATAGAATTAGGAGCAGGGTTTTTTTGTTTTTGTTTTGTTTTAGTAAAAAAAAATGATAGGAAGGTGGGTCAGAAGCAGAGCACTTGCTTGGTATGTTCAAGACCCTGGGCTTTGTGTTGTTGTTGTTGTTTTCAAGACAGGGTTTCTCTGTGTAGTCCTGGAACTCACTCTGTGGTCCAGGTTGATCTACAACTGCCTAGATTTGCCTGCCTTTGCCTCCTGAGTGCTGAGATTAAAGATGTATACTACCACCACCCAGATTCTTAAATAATTGATTCCCAGGATTGTTAAAATAAAAATCATAAGAACCTTAGGTGTATCCGTAGCACTATATTTCTTTAATATAGGTTTATCTGAAGATGAGGACTTTTACTTACTAAATCATTCGGCTTATTAGGAACCATTTCTCCTTGTGGGTAGTATTTGTCAGTATCAGCCTTAGAGCCTATTTCAAGTGGTTCTATTATGATTTTCCTCCTCGTAAAATTGTCAGGTACTTGTTTGTTATACTGTGGTTGTTTTTGAAGGAGGGTCTTACTTTGTAGCCCAGGCTGGCCTTCAGATCTTCCTGCCTTCGCCGCCTGAATGCTAGAATTACATACTACTCGGCTCAGAAGACATGTCCTTTACATAATTTCACTGAGGTGCTAAAGAACTTTATGGGGGTTGGTACACCTATTAAAATAAATACCCTTTTAAGATGACTATTTAAAACTTGGATTGTTGGGGCTGGAAAAAATGGCTGAGCAGTTAAGAGCACTTGTCACTCTTGCAGAGGGCCTGGTGTGGTGCATGTCAGTAATGCTTCCACTTATAAGGTAAAGGTTGGAAGATAAGGAATTCAAGGACACCGTCAGCTGCAGAGGAGTTCAAGACCGTCTAGGGCTACATGATAACACTCAGAAGAATCCAGATACCAACAATACTAAATATATTCTCTTTGGGTCCTATGTGTGTGTGTATGTGCTTAACAATAGAGTGTGCTGCCTGTATGCTCTCCACAGTGATGTCATGAGAATTTTGAAGGTGTATATAATAATGGTGTCTTGTGTCTGGGAAAAAATGGTGCTTTTAAACATCCCGATTAATTTTAAGTGAATTTCTATGATACACATTAACAAATTTTAAGCTATAATTATTTTAAAAGGATTAAAAATCCTTTTCTCTCTCTCTCTCTCTCTCTCTCTTTTTTTTTTTTTTTTTGTAATTCCAGTCTTGGGAACCATAGAGATGTTTTCAAAGATGTGGTTGGTGGTCTAAACTTACTAAATTGTGATCCTTGGAAAGGTTCTATGATAGGCTCCCTATAGAATTCCTCCTTGAAGGAAAGGGGCTATTTCCTCATGGAAACAGAGGACCTGTACTGCCATTTAGGAATCTGAACAAAGGATGGTGCACTGATAAAATCCACATTGGTGACAAATGCAAACTAGTCTTTGAACACTTCTTTTTGCTCTTTTTGTTTTCAGCCCACTTGAATGTGTTGTTCCTGTTGCCCTTACAGACATCAAGCAAGGACAGGAGCTTTTTTCAAACTATGACATGGTTATCAGCTAATGTGATGAATTAAAAACTTAAGGTTTACTAAGCAGCTATTGTGTTCATTCTAAATTCGTGGTTGTTGTTTGTTTGTTAGTCACTTTTGTAGTTCCACCTGCAGGGCAAAAGTTCTTAGACTTAACTGGACTTTTTGTATTTGTTGATGTTATAGTTATGCCAATTTCAAGGTAAAAGCTACTTGCTTCATAATTTCTAACTTATAATACAATTCCAATATTTAATTGGTTTTCATAATAATTTATTAAAACTACTTATCATTTCAGGTTTTCTTTTATTTGCGTATCTCTATAGTTGTGAACGTCTAGCCAAACAGCAATTCTTTAAGGTTTTATAGTGTGTGTGTGTGTGTGTATGTGTGTGTGTGTATACACTTAAGCAAGTTTCTGATGGAGATAGAGGAGGGTGTCAGATGTTTTGGAACTGGGTTAACTGGCAATTATGTGTTACCCAGTGTGCCAGACATGGGTGCTAGGAACCATAGTCCCTGGAAGAGACGCAAAATGCTCTTAACTACTGAGCTATCTCTCCAGCCCCAGCAATTCTTACAGTACTGTTGATGTGTGCAAGCTTCTGTGAAAACTTTCCTTTTTACAGAAGAAAAACGAAACTATCATGTTCCATGAGTACATGTATAATTTACAAACTGTTCATGGGGTCATCCTCCTCCTCCATCTATCTACACCAAGGTAGGTGATAAAAAGGAGTGTGAGAGATTGCTTTAGTGTGGGAATACTATAAGGGGACAAAATTGATGGCAGGGACGCCTGTTCCTGTCTCGTTTCTGTGGAGGGGGCTTACCTTTTCTCTGCCCACGGGAGAAGGGTGACTTTCTGGGAGTTTCTTTGGAGAGCCAGGTATCTGTGGCTCACACCCTTCAGTGTTCTGGACTGTGCAGAGCCACCAGCCCAGGTGTTGACAAAATGACTGTACTTAGAGGTAAAGTACTATACTATGAAGCCAGCCCAGCCACACTCAGTCCTGAAGCTGCGTCCCACAGTTTTACTCATAATGGTTTCTTTGATTAATCCATCTGAGTCCTGCTCCAACTCACTTCCCAGCTTGGATAGGATGTCATCATTTACTTAGCCCCTCCATCCTTAGGGAAACTGCAGAATCAGATTTTAACCACTGTCACAGCTATGCAACTAGCTTTGTTTGCCTCGTTTGTTGCAATTCTTAGCTTTCTAATCTGCCTATCTCTTTCCACTCTTGCCCCTTACAGAATATATCACCAAGAGAGGGATTTTGGTTGGTTGGTTAGTTGGTTGGTTTTTTGAGTTTCTCAGTGTGTGATTTACAGATTGTTCCAGCTGGATACAAGTCATCCTCCTCCATCCACTATTCACTGAACATTTCTACAAGGGGCTGGGAGCGGGGTGATAAAATGGTGTGCTGGAGATTGTTTCAGTGTGGGAATACTACACTGAAACAAGGACACCTGTTCCTGTTTTGTATTTCTGTGGAGAGGGTGTCCTGGATGACTTGGAACCAGGTCTGTAGACTATGCTGACCTCGAAATTCAAGAGATCTCTCTGCCTCTGCCTCCTAAGTGCTGGGATTAAAGTATGTGCCACCAAACCCAGCCAAGGGTATTTTAACTTGACACATTCTTACTTAAAACCCTGGAGAAAACAAGGATTCCTTCCTTCACACAGGTGATCTGTGACTTCAGAGCACCTCTTGCTGTTTCCCATTGCTCACTCATGCTGCATACCCACAGCCACCTCTGGATTGTGCCCCTGGTTCTCTACCTGTGGAGACCTCTCCCCAGATCACCTGGGACCCTAAGCCTCACTGACGCTTGACTCATGCACCCTTAACTCCTTTTCCCACCTGACAGCCCTGTTTATCCCCATTTTCTCTATAGTAAGGAAGGCTTGAAGGCTCATGTTTATGTTAGGTCCAATTAGGAATGGACACAAGGAAGTCAGAAAGTCATTTGGGCCATAGAATCCCTAGAAGTCACTAAAGATTTTCCTGCTTCCACAGGCTTCTCCCTCCCCAAAGCCTGAAGTACCATGTAGGTGCCACATGGTACTTAACTGTATTTAGAATACTCAGGGAGCTTGTGCCCACACAGATGTGTCACAGGAAAGCACTGTGGTGTTTGGAAGTGGAAGGATGTAGTTCTTTCTGGACAAGCAATGAAAGCAAAAGGGTTTTAAGGTTTTTACTCGTTACCTTGCTTTGTATAAACTCTGGATATTATGTGCAGCCTGGATATTAATATGGGAACTGGGAATGCCAGGATTTAAATAAGATCTTTAGCTTTGGGAATGCCAGGATTTAAATAAGATCTTTAGCTTGAAAAGATGAAGGCTTGGGAAAGTTATGACCAGAGGCAATGGGATTATGAACATTATAATAAAAGAGTAATTAGGTCTTGATGTCTTATTGTATTTCAGTTCTGTCTTCCTAAAATACAGCTGCCTCAGACTGTCTGTACCAGATATTCAGTAACTGCCTCCTGAACTGTGAGAATCCTCACTTAGGAGTTCTCTTAGAATCAGTATATAGATCAAAAGCTAGTAGAGAGGATTTAAGAAAGCTATTTTGTCTCTCAAGCTGAATATCTACATATCTGGTATATATAGTTTAAGATGGCTATAAATTTTTTGGTAAATAGTCACACAAACCAGGAAAAACAGATTTCCAGATTTTATTTCTGGAACTGTACACCAGGTATTAAAGTACAACAAATACAAAATAATGCTCAAAAAATCAGTGTTTATGTACAAATATTAAAATCAATGCAACAATAGCAACTTCCTCTTGAACATTGGATACTAAAACTTGTTCTGATTGTCACTAATTTATCTCATACTCACAGGATACTTATTTCAAACTGGGACAATTGGAATCACTGGTCATCTAAGAGGAATATTAATATCTACCATATTTAACAATAAAACTAATAGTTTCCCTCCTTTTAGTGAAAAAATTAGGAACTTTTTAAAAAACATAGTAATGTCAATATTTTATAAATTATTTCAATTTCCATTCGTAGACAATGTGCTTTGAAACTCTGGGCAAACAATCTCCTTGGTGGTCGGGTTTGTTAGTTTACATTCAAAGTTGAAATATTTACTAGACTTTGGTTAAATTAAATAGTACTACTACTCTATTAGGTCTGATGTTCTCAAATATTTATGACCTTCAATTTTAAAAATTAAAAAGGAAACAATTGCACAATTCTTTGACCTAATTGTACAGACTTTAGTATTTTTTAAACAGTATTCTACATCCTTCAAGTAAATTCAGCAGTTGACCGTGACAAGAGGAAAACTAAACATTTAAAAAGCTAGCATGAGCAAGGCGAAGCACAACTAACAAAAGTAAAGTATTGCTATAGTCACAGCACCAGTTACACTTCTGAATGAGTCCACGTCCTCTCGAGTTCCCTGTACACAAAGGATGGATCAGCCGACACTGCAACTGCTCACCATGAATTTTTGGTTTGTTCATATGAAAATATTGCGGCAAATGAAAAAAAAAAAAAACAAAGAATTTATCACAGTTTGCTATAAGAATTGTGCTTAATGCTTGATAATAAAGGCATTGCTTTTTTTCTTCATACAATTGCAAATCGAGTATGTTTTTATGCTTTCAAACTCAATTCTTTTAATAAACAGTAACAAATTCTCTGTTAAGATGTTTAAATGGAGACAAAAAAAAAAAAAGTCCAGCCATTGAAAGAAAATTCAATAAATAGCTATTTTACATGGATAAAGTCATAGTGGTACAATTTATGAATGTCACATCAAGCATGCACAAAAATGGTATTATACATGGCAGGAGTAGTCAGAAAATATTGAATTAGATCTAAAAAGATATGAAGAATTTACTTTACATATATATACAAAAATCTTGCAAATTATTGCCTCATTTTAACAAGGAATTAAAAGTAAACGTTACCAGCTAGGTAGCACTCTCTAAGAGGCTAAATTCAGGTTAGCATTTAAAAATCTGTTAAACTAGCTGGAATTTATTTTTCTCTCATATCATTTTCTGGATTTTGGTCAAAATTCTATTTAAATAACTAAAGTGTCCATTCAACTTGCTGATAATCAAAACTCAGATAAGAAACACTGTTTCCATCTTGTATCAAGACCCCAGCAATGCATAGATAAACTGGATATATTACTGCATCAGCTAATGAGAATGGGCATCTTCATTTAAGTGCAACTGGTACTAGCATTCAGTCATCTTTGTGTAAATTATTTATACAGACCAGCCACTGTAAACCCAGAGTGAAAATTAAAGTTATAACAATGGAAGAGTATGCCCAGTATCCTCCTACATTAAAGAAAGTATACTGAAGGGAATAAAAGAGACAAGGTTCAAAGTTTAGCACAACACAGCAAAAAGAAGCTAACCACTTGGATAACAATATCAGAAAGCAACACAGAGCCCAGGCTACCCATTATTTACTGTGTGCATACAGGAATACTAGATTTTAGATGTATAAGTTAGAGACCAATTTTAAGTTATTAATTTAACTACCCTTTGTCCTCTGTGCTAAACTAAATTTTATAGTCAATGTGCTACTGCATAAACACTTCAAAGCAATCTTCATTAAAATGCTGCAAAGAAAAACAATACACATCATCCAAAACTAAGGATGTCATTGCAGTTCACAGTTTTTAGAATAAATACCCTCCCCTCCATCACTAAGACCACTACATCCTACCTAGTCAGCAGCACAACCTTGAAGCGACTTACACACAAACAGCAACACAGTCAAATGGTAAGGTTTTTTGCAAAGCAATACAACTAGTAATAAAATCAAAAATTTTAATTAAGACGGTGCAAAAAGTAATTGCTTTAACTGTGCTATAAAAGCAAAGCTTATTATATCCTAATACTGTATTGTATAGTTTGATTCACCTTAAAACTTAAAAGGAGTATGTCTAATAAAGCAAAAATGGTCAAAGCTTATGGCAATGGCTTCTTATTCACGTTTTGATAAAAGTAAAATCGCATTTGAGATGCATGTGAACGTCTGTCACTTCTAAAAACTTAAAAGTGGTAACGTACCATTCTACTTCAGACAGAAACTCACGTTTTTTTTCTTCCCAACTATTCAAGCTAAACAAAATAGCTCAAATATACTTCAAGGTTCTGCATTATGCATACCATCTAGAAGTCTCTC